CTCTCAAAATAGTTAAACACAGAAGAAATTTAACTCAGTACAATATGAGCTATAAATACAGACCCACAACCAAGGCCACACTGAATGGGGAAAAGCTGAAATCATTACCTCTAAGATCAAGAGAAAACAGAAGCACACTTTCACTTCTATTGTTCAGCATAGTAACGAGAAAAATAAAAGACATTCAATTTGAAAGGGAGAGGGTTAAATTAATACTGTTTCCAGGTGGAATATATATATATATATATATTCACTAAATTTTCAGAATCAAAAATGAACATAAAAATGTCAGTAGTCTTTTAATATACCAGTAACAAAATTTCTTACCAAGAAGAATAATCCCATTCACAATAACTACAAAATAATTACCTACAAAATAAATTCAGTCAAAGTAGATAAATAATCAGTATAATGAAAATGATAAGACACTAATGAAATAAATGGAAGAGGTCAAAGAAAATAAGAAGACATGATATTTTCATGTATTGGAAGAATTAATATTTAAAACTTCCATACTGCCCAAAATGACACAGATTCAATGCAAAGTCCTAACAAAATATTAGAGATATTTTTCACAAAAATAGAAAAGAATTCCTTAAATTTGTGTGGGACCACAAATGACCCATAATAGTTAGAGCAATGTAGAACACAAAGAACAAATCAGAAGACTTTACAATGTTTTACTTAAAACATACTACAAAGCCATAATGGTCAAAACAACATGCAAATAGCAAATATATGTATCTAGATATATATAAAACTATCTAGATAATCTATATAGATATCAAACAGATCAAGCAGATAGAATATAGAAGCAAGAAATAAATCCATGTGTTTTCATGTAACAGATTTTCCGCAAACACATCAAGAACCCATTGGGAAAAGGAATTTCTGTGCAGCAAAGAAAACAATCAGCAGAGTAAAGAGGCAACTAGAGATTCAGAGAAAATATTTACAAATATTTGACCAATAGGGGATTAATTTCTAAAATATATAAAGAAATCAAACAACTTAGTAGCAATGATAATAGCAACAGTAATCCAATTAAAAATGGGTTAATCACTCGTATAGACATTTCTAAGAAGAGGATTCACTAATGGCCAAGAAGTCTTTAAAAAAAGTGATCAACATCACTGACCACTCAGGAAGTGAAAATCAATGCTAAATGATATATAATCTCTTCCCAGTTAGCTGTTCAAAGAAAAGCTATTATCAGAAAGAAAGAAAGAAAGAAAGAAAGAAAGAAAGAAAGAAAGAAAGAAAGAAAAGAAAGAAAGAAAGAATCAAATGTTGGTGAGAATTCAAAGAGAATATTTAGACCCTCTGGTGGAAATGTAAGGCAAGTTTAACCATTATACAAAACCAACATGAGATGGAGATATAGCTCAGCCACACAGTACCTGCCTGGCAAGCATGAGATCATCAGTGCAATTTCCAATACCAAAAATAAACAAATAAATAAATTTTTAAAAACCAGGATGGAGGCTCCACAAAGAACTAGAAATGGTACACCATATGATCCTACTATCACACTACTAGGTATATATCTAAAGAAATGACAGTCAGTATGTTAAAGAGATATTCTACACTTACAAGTTTATTACAGCAGTGTTCACAATAATCAAGATATGAAATCAACCCAGGTGTCAACAGATAAAGTGAGGTGCACACATATGCCATAAATTGTTAATCAGTCATAAAAATAAATTTCTGTCATTTACACTAATATGGGTAGAACGAGAAGATATTGTAAGTGAAGTATGTTAGTAACGAAGACAAGTGCTGTATGTTCTCACATGCTCATAGGAACTAAAAGATTAGTTTCAAAAGAAAAACACAGAATAATTATTTTATGAGTAGGATATCGAGGAGAGAAGGGAGGAGATAAGATGAGTAGTAGATATAGGGCTGATTTAGAGAGGAAGAATAACTTTTTATGTTTCATAACACAAGAGGTTAATGTTTACAACAGTTAATTGACTATTTCAAAATAGTAAGTAGAAGGATGTTTAATATTCTCAACATAAAAAAATCATATATATGGTGATATATATGCTAATATCCTGATTATCACATCATAAACATATTTAAATGTTTCATTTTGCTGCACAGTCACGTACAATTATTGTGTTAACTAAAAGTAAAAAATATTCATATAATATAGCTCAGTAAACAATTCTTAGGTGAAAATGGAACTATAAATTGCAGTTACAGAATATTTTAAAAATAGTGATATGCAACAGAATTTGTGGGTCATATTTTAAGTGCTGCTCAAAAATATAACCTTAAAATCATCAATATAAATTAGTGAATGTAAATAAATTATTTTTTTAGTTCAGAATGTTAGAAAGAGAAAATTAAAATAAACCAAACACAAACATACACTCATGTCACACAGAAGAAAAAATAAATTTAAAAGGGTAATTAACAAGGTAAATGGTAGAAAAATAACAGATATAATTTTTAAAAGTAAGGTTTTCATAATTTAACAAAATAGTAGCTACCTAATGTAATAAAACAAAATGATATATAACATGAGGTATGGTATTAGAGAAATAATCATTTGAACAAGAAAAAAGGTGGAAATATTGATAAATGTTCACTAATTGGTGGAGTATATAGTATACATCTTTTAGTAATTAATTTTAAAAACCAGATGAAATATTCATCAAAGATTAAATGATTTGAAAAGCTCATCAACAAATGTAACCAATGTATCATCTAACACTTGTATGAAACACGTTGTTTTCAGGAGCAAACTGAGTATTTACCAAAACTGACCACATGCTGGGCTATAAAGCCAATCTCAAAAGATTTCAAAGTATTGGAATCATGCAGAATGTATTCTGTGACAACAATAAAATCAAACTAGCAATAAAAAATATATATATAACTGGAAAACCACCAAATATTGTTAATCAGGGATTTTATTTGTCCTTAAAACATGGATCAAAGCAGAAATCCTAAAGGAAATTAAAAAATATTTTGAACTAAATGAAATTTGAAATATAACAATCAAGTTTTATGAGATGAAGTTAGAACTAGGCTTTGAAGGAAATTGAAAGCATGAAGTCTTTGTGTAAGAAAAAAAAAATCTACCATCTAAGTATTCATCTCAAGGAGCTAGGAGAAAAAAAGAGCTAATTAAACAAAATTTTGTAAAGAAAGAAAAAGCACAATTCAACAAAACAGAAGAAAGAAGTACAATGAAAAAATTTCAAAGACAAAGCTTTTTTGTTGTTGTTTTTGGTACTGGGCTCAAACTCACGACCTCGGGCTTACAGGTAAGTGAGCTGCTCAGCTAGATCCCCAACAATCAAGTTTATTTTTTAAAAGGCTAATGAAATTGATAAGTCTTTAGTAATATCAATTAAGGAAAAAAATCCAAACCCTAAATTATCTGTATCAGCAATGAAAAGGTCAGTGTCACCACGAAATCTAGACATTTTACACACATACAAGTTAGTAAGACAAGGCCAGACATGTTGGTGCACACCTATAATCCTAGCCCTCAGGAGGATCATTGCAAGTTCAAGGCCAGCCTGTGCCACAAGACACATTCATGACCCATTCGAACTGCATAGTAAAACCCTTGTCTCAAAAACAAAAATGAAACAAAACAAAGAGAGAGAGAATGTGAAAAATTATTTGCTGATAAATTTTAAAAATTGGAAGAAATATAAAATCTTTGAAAAATGTAGCTTTAAACCTAAAAGCAAACTCCAGACCCTTATGGTTTTGCTGGTGAATTATTCCAAGCACTATGATAAAAACTGTATGTTTACATATTAAAAATAATAGGGTCCTAAGGAAATAAAAAGAAATATTTTCCAACTTATTCTATGTTTCCCTATTAAAACTAGACAAAAATCTTACAGGACAGGAAAAGCCAGTTACAAGATAAGCCAATATATGAAACTATAAATAAAATATTCTACATAAAATATAACAAAAAACCCCAAATATGTATAAAAGGAAAATACGTCTTAACCAAAATTCATTTATTCTAGGACTCTAAGATTGGTTAAACACTTGAAAATAATCAATATAATTTACCACACCATCAGAATAAAGCAAAAATATTATGTAATTTTCTTAGTTAGAGAATATGGATTTAATAAAACACAGCATTCATGCATTTTTTTAAAGTTCTGGCAAACCTGAAACAGCAAAATATTTTCATAATATAACAATATATAGTGCAAATAAACCTGACAAAAACACCCATCTAATAAAATATTGAAAATGTTTCAAAACAAAGATACTAACAACCTTTTTCATTGTGTTGAAGATCTTTACAAATCCAATAAGAATGAATAAATAAAAATTAGAAATGTGAAAATAGTCATCATCTAAAGACAATATGCTTATATATTTAAAACAATGAAGAATCTACAGGAAATTGAATAAAATTAATAAATCAATTTAACACATTTTCTGGCTATAAATTTCACTTTTACATTCCAGTAAAAAAATAATAAAGTTAGACTTTAAAAACTATCATTTGTTATGAGATTTAAAGCATCAAAAATTTAGAAACAGGAGCTGTAAAACCCCTTCATAGAAAAATATAGAACAATATTGAAAGAAATTAAAGAGCATCTGAATTAATATTAACTTTTGCTCATGTTGATGAATTGAAAAAATTCGGTTTAATAATGTTAACTCTTCCCAAATTTATCTCTACAATTCTGATCAAATTCTTAACCTAAACTACAGTGCAAATATAATGCAAATTAAATTGTTATCCTATTACATTTGTTTACAACTGGTGAATATGTAATACAGAAATTGAAAAGTCAATTGTCAAATGTTGATTAAAATGTGCAGTCACTAATAGCCATAATAATCTTGAAGAAGAAAAAAGTCAACAAAATTCAATAGGGTATGTCTACATTTCTATGAATATTCTCTAGGGAAATTGGCAAATGATCCTAAAATATTTATTAAAATGTAGAATAAAAAGTAATCACAATAATCTTTTTTTAACTTTATTTTGAAAGTAGTAAAATACAACAGAACAAGACAGAATAAAGCCAACTAAGATCGTACAGTGAAATTAGTACAGAACTTTACAGCAGGTTACTGGGATAACAGTAATAGGTATCACAGTATATTTCATTATCTTTACACTAGTTGTTCTTTCAATCACTTATATCAAAATAAAATGAAATACAGAACATTATAGAACTTATCAAAACAATATTGAATAGAGCAGTACCATCATCAGAATAGAGCAAAACAGTGATAAAAATATTTGCCTTCAAAGAGATGGTAGAAGGAAATCCCTCTTATTTGCTATGGTCATCCTCCCAGGAGATGCTCAGTTGCTGGATCCCATTTGCCAATTGGGGCGGGGAAGGAGGGGGACAACAGGAAAAGGAGGGTAGGGGAAGTGGGATGTTTGACTTTAGGCTGTGCACCAGTAGGTTCACTATTACTTAGCAGGGAGGAAGGCTGGTTGCTTGGTTTCCCAGCTTCGTAAGTTCCAACATGGTGAGGATCTCAGAAGACACTGGTAGTTCTCCCTCTGGAGGGGCCGTAGTCTGCCACACCGCAGCCACTTACCAGGGAGGGGAGGTGCTTGCTTGGTTTCCCAGCGTCCTATGTTCCAACATGGCATGGATCTCAGGAGCTGTTGGTGGTTCTCCCCCTGGAAGGGCCACAGTCTGCCACACCGCAGCCACTTACCAGGGAGAAGAGGTGCTTGCTTGGCTTCCCAGCATCCTAAGTTCCAACATGGAGCAGATCTCAGGAGCTATTGTCACAATAATCTTGAGAAAGAAAGAAGTTGAAAGATTTTATGCTACTAGGTATCAAGACATGGAAAAGGAATCTGAATAGGACTATGGAATGGGTGAGCATTACACAAGGAACACACAGAGTTTAAGAAACTGAATTGTATACAATCAATTTTCCCTTACTGCACTGATCATTCATACCTAAATCTTCTCCCTTTCTTCTCCCATTGAGCACAGCTGTCAGTTCCAAGTGGAATAAATGTCTTCATAACCTGGGAATAAGTAAGGCCTTCTTAATCACAACAAAAAATATTATCAGACACAATATATACCTTATCTGTAGTGGGGCATTGTTTAACAATATTAGTACTCTTTTTGAGTGATCTGTTTAGCAGTTAATTATCTTTTTTTTTGGATCTCATTATTTTTAATTTTTTAAATTTTTATATTTTAAAGAGAATAAAAACAATGCAGAACAAAGCAAATCAAAACAGAACAATGCAAGCCACACAGGACTTCACAAGACAACAGGAATAAACACTGGCTACCATAGTGTCTCTTGCTTTCTTCAAAATAGTTGTCCCTACCTTCACACACAATACAATCAAACAAAACAAAATAGTATAAAACCAACCAAAACAAAAGAATGAAAGCGTCATAGGACTTCAACCATTGTTCATTTCCTGATTCTGAAGTCCTGTAAAGCAGTTAACTATTTTAAAGATGCAATGCCAGCAACCACTACCAACATTGGAAAGTAAGTGGAATCTGTTGTCATTCTTAGCTGAAATATAAAAAGAAACCATGAACACCAAGCTTACAAAATCTGTAGTGTTGCCAGCTCAATGGAAGTGGATTCTGAGTTGTAAATCTGATTACTCTGCTAGGGAGACAAGCATGATTCTGCCTCAGGACAAGGGCAAGTTCATATGGAGGCCATAGTTCCAGGTTTATCTCACCTTATAAGACCGCACACATACCTAATCATCAGAGTCTAGGCAGCTCCCTTTTGCAAAAATGGTCTTGTTAGAATCTCCTTACCATAATAGTAGCTACTAATATTTTCATTAAGTGTATTAAGAAGTAAAATTTTTTCTCATGGACATTCTAAACAACAAAAACTAAGGAAGAATCAGAACATTTCAGAGTCACCTTCAACAATCTTGTTTGGTTTAAAGGCTCTTTTCAAAATCTTTTTGAGCCCAGTATCACACATCCCAGTTAGCAAATACTTCCTTGTGGTTAGACATTAGAGATGCATTGTATATTGCATAATTGTATTCTGAGATATAAAACATCATAAACAAGTGTTTATGTGTTGTGTTCAATAGTTATTTGTTAGACATTTATATAAAGCTGATTTCTCAGTGCCTTATAAAATTGTTTCTTAAAATTATTTACTTACCCTTATACTTCTGTCTTACTACTTCTGAGCCACTTGTATAATAAATTACAACACTCGTTTTGCTCCTTTTTTAAAATAATTATGTGAGATTCAAAAGTCATAACTTACTCAACCTTCTCAGAATTTACACAGCAATTTACAGTCATAGATTTTTGTTAGTCAATAAAATAAAAAAGATGCATATTTGGGCTTATCAGATTCTCAGGTGTACTACCCAAAGTAAAATAATAATTTTTGATAAAATATTCATAACAGATTTGCTATCTGTATATTAATTAACTGGAATATTATCAATATCCAGAACATTGATGAATGCTCAAAAAATCATGTACTAAAACATTTTGAAATGAAAAACTATTTTCCAAATTAGTAAATCAGTAACTTGGAAAAGGTATCATTCCCTGGAAACTTAACTGACAGTTACAGAAAGACCAATCTACAATTCTACAGGAGGCAGCAGTTTATTTCTTGGAGTATAATGAAGAGGGGTCAATTCTCTCCTCGAATCCTGACAAGTTAATTTCTTATAGATGAACAAGAGTTGGAAATTGCTCCGAATGACACTCATCCCAAGGTTATGAGTTTATTTGTCCTGTACCTTTTTCTCCTGCCTGAAGACTCCTAAACAGGTATTGAAACCTTTTACATACAATATATTTAATAGCTCTAATGGCCATTTAAGTGCTTGCTTAAGAAGGTCACCAAGACCTTGAGTTTTTGCACTCAGTAAGATAACAAAAGACCTGCAAGACCATTAGTGAAAAATCAAATGAAATAGAGAAATCTCAGTGTCTGATAGGCAGAGGTTCCAGCTCAGTGTTCTGTGTGAATTAATTCTTTTATCAAGAATGGTTTTACGAGCATTTTCCTTCTCTGCATACCAATTCCAGAGAAGTGCCTCTATACCACAATGAAAGGCATCAGGGTTCAGCCAACTTGCAGCCATTTATTTATTGAAAAGCTTATCTCTATATTAAATTCTCACTGAAGAGGGTTTCATTAGGCTCACAAGACCCATTTAAACAGGGAGCTGCAGAGTTATTTGGAAAATGATTCGGGGAGCTAACTTCTCAGTCTGTTTTCTGTTCCCATTGCCCATACACCGAAGCTGCACCAAGAGAGAAGCGTGGGTTCAAGCTGGACTTTTTTTTTATTTCCTGCATTTGAGCAGGCCACAATTTATATCACTCAGGTCTCCTTAAATTAGTCCAAGAGGATTTCATTTTACAGGCCTGCTTGACTGGGATCCTTTCGGCACGATGGGTTCAGCTTTGTATACAACTGAGATTCATATTTTATGTGTGTATAAAAACCCCAGTCATGAATCTAGCAGCTCAGAGCGTCACCTGCATTCTTTACAGCTCAGTTCAGAGTCCCGCACATTTCCATAGACTCAGTCTCAGGGCTGAGCTCAAAGGACAAAAGCTAAAAATAGATTTAGAAATGCAGGAGCCTAAGAGGAGAAAATAGGACTTTCTCAGTTCTTTACATCACACTTCCCAAATTAATATGATGCAGACACAATGCCTCCCATTCACACTTTGAAATTGAAATAGTGCTTTTGGCTGGATATTGTTTTCTGCTTTTAAGGCTAAAAGAGGCCTTAGCATTGTCAGAGCCTTCTGAAATTCTGTCACTCTGCACCACTTTTGCCTGCCTGCAAAGCTTCAGCCTCCTTTACCACTGCTTTTCCCCAGATACCATGCAGCTTCCAGTTACATCTGTTTGCCCAGTCTTGCTTTCCAATGGTCTACAGACCTAAACAGCTTCCGAAACAAAACTGAGCAAATCAAAGTACAAAATAGAACTTGGAAGTTTTGCTTTACTACTATTATGACGGTTTTGGAAGTTTCCATTTTTATTGTCATCTCTACTCATTTGCTTGTTTGAACTAAAGTTGGTGCCTTCCTTGCCAGTATGTCTCTAATGAGTTGTGCATCCCACAGTTCATTAAAATTACCAATATTTTAACAGGATGAAAATTCTGGCCCCAATATTATCTCATTTCTAAAATAATAGAAATCTCCTCTCAGAACCATTACTTGTGAATTTCCTGGTGCATTTTCCCCTGTTATAGGGCATTGCTTACTATTTAACTTTCATCAGTGTGTAAATTTATTGAAGTCTTATATAATCATGATACATAGGAATACTCTCCTCTGATAATAACCCATTAGATAGTCTGCATATTGCCAGAGAGCCCTATAAATAAAGGATAAGTCCCTGTAAGCCTTCTAAAAGCTTTTAATATAGATACATAAGCTATATACATAGACCAGGTATGATGGCCCATACTTGGATTCCCAGCACTTGGGAGCTGAGGCTGGAGAACTGTCATGAGTTCAAGGGCTACGTAAACTACATAGTGAGATCACGTCTCCAAAAAAATTAAAAACAGCAAGAACAAAAAACTAAATGCACACAAATAAGTAGAATACAAGAAATATATATGGGTATTACCATCAGGGACTAAGTCAGGCCTGAACCAATGCCCCAACTTCAAGTTTCTGGGTCTACTCAACTGTCCATACTCAAAAGTATGAGAAAAAACCATAAACTGGGAAAATCAGCTTATTTACAATTTGGTCAAATTGGGGTGGGCAACTAGCCTCACTCTCCTCACCCTAAACACCCATGCATGCGTGCACTCCAGTTTATAGGAGGTGGGGGAGCCAGGAATCTAATCTTATGTAGATTTACCCAAGCTTTGTCCCAGGTATCTAAAGGCATCAAATCCTCTTTGTCTTCGGGCCGGGGCAGTTTATACTCAGCAAGCATCCTACCTCTAAAACAAACAAACAAAAACTCCTAATTGTATCCTCCATTGTGCCTTCTTGTTATATGCCCAATTAACAAGATAATAATAGGGAAATGTTTTATGAAATTATGGAGAAAGAAAGGATCAATACATAATAAAATTGCATAGAAATATAACATGAATTAGGAAGGATTTGAATTGGACATTAAGAGGAAGATAAAATAAGAGTGAGCTAAAAAAAAAAAAAAAAAAAAAAAAAAAAAAAAAAAAAGAAGAAGTGGGAAAAAATTAAGCAATGAGAAGGAGAAGATACTTTCCCAGAGGTAAGAAAGAGGAGTGACAGTTTGCAGTGAAAATAAGGTCTGCAAATGCAAAGGAGCGTAATTTAGTACTGTAATTATGATGCTGTGCTCCAGTTACCCGTTTCTGTTTATCACCAGGGTTTTTTCCCTATTTAAGTGCCACAGTTCAAAATGTGGCAAGGTATAGAACTTGTACCTATAGTTGTAACTGGCACTACTGCAGTAACTATTCATTTTTTTTTTTTCTTAACTGAAATAACTTAGCTATGTGCCAATCCCCCTTTCTTCCCTTTTCCCATTTTTCTGGCTCTTGTCTCTACCTTCTTTTTTTTCTTTTATTTTTTCTCTCTCTCTCTTTTTCTCACCTCCTCTTGCTTTCCCTTATTATATTAGTTTTGTCTTGGTGAAAACCAAAACTTACGTTAAAATGTAGGATGCTGAAACAAAATTCACATCTTAGTCACTTTTCTCCTGTGAAGACACAACAGCCGATGCCCACAATTTAAAGGAAAAGTTTCTTTTGTCTCGCATTTTACAAGTTTCAGTCCTTGTAAGGTTGGCCAGCTCCAGCAGAAGCAGCATGGTGAAAGGGTCTGGCGGAGGAAAGCTACTCACCTCGTGGTAGCCAGGAAGCAGGTAATCAAAAAAGAAGCCAGGAAAGAGACACATTTTGCTAGATCACATTCATAGTGATCTGCCTCTCCCAATCAGAACCCAGCTCCTAAAGGCAACTCCATAGTTCAATTTCAAAAGCCCTGACCAGAATCACATGAGGCTTTGGAGGGGCCATCTAAGTATAAACCATAA